GTTGAAAGTTGGGATGGTATCATAATTTCACCCATATAGCATGTGCATGTACAAAACGGACAATGGTAGCATATTCGTGTGTTACAAAGTTGGCATGGTATCATCATAATAGTTGCGGGAGAAAGTCTTCACTTTTTCTTTGCTTGTGTCATTTGCTTATTGCGCCGTAACCATGGATAATCTTCATTGTTTATCAGGATGCTTGGGCCAGCCTTGACATTGAAGGGAGGAATTTCATGAAACTTTTCATAATCTTCAGACACGTCTGTTTTGCCGTCCACTCCCGGGATGTCCCTTTTTCCTGAAAGAACTATGTGGCGCTTTGGCTCATCGTATGATGTATTCGCTTCCTTATCTTTTCTTTTTCTCGGTTTGGTAGACATGTCCTTCACATAGATAACCTATGCCACATCATTGGCTAGGACGAACAGTTCGTCAGTGTACCCAAGATTTTTCATATCCACTGTTGTCATTCCGTACTGTGGGTCTACCTGTACCCCGCCGCCTAACAGATTGACCCATTTGCACTTAAACAAAGGGACCTTAAAATCAGGTCCGTAGTCAAGTTCCCATATGTCCACTATGTAACCATAATATATGTCCTTTCCGCTCTCGCTTGCTGCATCAAAGCGGACACCGCTGTTCTGGTTGGTGCTCTTTTGATCTTGGGCGATCGTGTAAAATGTATTCCCATTTATCTCGTATCCTTTCTAAGTCAATACAGTCAAAGATGGTCCCCTGGACAACAAGTACAACTCATCACAAACAGTGTTGTCACCTCTGAGACGTGTTTCCAACCAACTGCTGAAAGTCCTGATGTGTTCACATGTAATCCAGTCGTCGCACTGCTCCGGGTGTTTGGAGCGCAGACTGTTCTTGTGTTCATTGACATACGGGGTCACCGAGGTAGAGTTCTGTAGAACTATGTAGTGTGTTTGAGACCAAGAATATCCGTCCTTGCATATTATTGAGTCTCTTCCAAGAGTGCCTTTTCCAATCAGTCTCCCCTCATACCGCGATTTAGGGAGACCTATCTTCTTAAGGCCAGGAATGAAGTCAACACAAAACCCGATAACATCCTCTGTTTAATGGCCCATGGAGATGCTTCCTTCTGGCCTAGTGCGGTTACGGACATATTTCTTTAGGACTCCAATGAACCTCTCAAAGGGGAACATATTGTGTAGAAATACGGGCCCCAGGATGACAATCTCGTCGACTAGATGAACTAGGACGTGCGTCATGATATTGAAGAAGGATGGTGGGAACACTAGCTCGAAACTGACAAGACATTGCGCCACATCACTCCTTAGCCTTGGTACGATTTCTGGATCGATCACCTTCTGAGAGATTGCATTGAGGAATGCACATAGCTTCACAATGGCTAATCGGACGTTTTCCGGTAGAAGCCCCCTCAATGCAACCGGAAGCAGTTGCGTCATAATCACGTGGCAGTCATGAGACTTTAGGTTCTGAAACTTTTTCTCTGGCATATTTATTATTCCCTTTATATTCGACGAGAAGCCAGTCGTGACCTTCATACTGAGCAGGCATTCAAAGAAGATTTCTTTCTCTTCTTTCGTAAGAGCGTAGCTGGCAGGACCTTTATACTACTTCGGAGGCATGCCGTCTTTTTCATGCAAACGTTGCAGGTCCTCCCGTGCCTCAGGTGTATCTTTTGTCTTCCCATACACGCCTAAGAAGCCTAGCCGGTTCACGCAAAGGTTCTTCATCACGTGCATCACGTCGATTGAGGAGCGGACCTCTAGGTCTTTCCAGTAGGGTAGGTCCCAAAATATAGATTTCTTCTTCCACATGGGTGCGTGTCCCTCAGCGTCATTCGGAATAGCTAGTCCACCGGGACCCTTTCCAAAGATTACGTAGTGTAAATCATTGACCATAGCAAGCACGTGATCACCGGTGCGCATGGCGGGCTTCTTCCGGTGATCTGCCTCGCCTTTTAAATGCTTGCCTTTCTTTCGACATTGATGGTTGGTCGGAAGAAATCGATGATGGCCCAGGTACACATTCTTCCTGCATTTGTCCAGGTATATACTTTCAGTGTCATCTAAACAGTGCGTGCATGCGTGGTATCCTTTGTTTGTCTGTCCTGAAAGGTTACTGAGAGCGGGCCAATCGTTGATGGTCACGAACAGCAACGCCTTAAGGTTAAATTCCTCCTGTCTGTGCTCATCCCACGTACGTACACCGTTTCCATTCCACAACTGTAAAAGTTCTTCAACTAATGGACTTAGATACACATCAATTTCGTTGCCGGGTTGCTTAGGGCCTTGGATGAGAACTGGCATCATAATGAACTTCCGCTTCATGCACATCCAAGGAGGAAGGTTATACATACATAGAGTCACGGGCCAGGTGCTGTGATTGCTGCTCTGCTCCCCGAAAGGATTAATGCCATCCGCGCTTAAAGCAAACCATACATTCCTTGGATCCTTTGCAAACTCATCCTAGCACTTCGTTTCTAAACAGACGTTTCAACCGTGGTATTATAGGAGCATACCACATCACCTTCGCAGGAACCCTCTTACTGGGGGACTCGCCGTCAACATCACCAGGGTCATCTCGTCTGATCTTATACCGCAATGCACCGCATACCGGGAATGCGTTCAGATCCTTGTATGCACCGCGGTAGAGGATGCATTCATTAGGGCATGCATGTATCTTCTCCACCTCCAATCCTAGAGGACATACGACCTTCTTTGTTGCGTATGTACTGTCGGGCAATTCGTTATCCTTTGGAAGCTTCTTCTTCAATATTTTCAGTAGCTTCTCAAATCCTTTGTCAGCCACAGCATTCTCTGCCTTCCACTGCAGCAATTCCAGTACGGTACCGAGCTTTGTGTTGCCATCTTCGCAATTGGGGTATAACCCTTTTTGTGATCCTCTAACATGCGATCGAACTTCAACTTCTTCTTTTGACTTTCGCATTGCGTCCTTGCATCGACAATGACCCGGCGAAGATCATCATCATCGGGCACATCGTTTGGTTCCTCTTGATCTTCAGCAGCTTCACCCATTGCAGCATCATTGGGCACATCGTCTGGTTCCTCTTGATCTTCACCAGCTCCCCCCGTTGCAGCATCACCGTATTCAGGGGGCACATAGTTGTCATCGTACTCTTCTTCTTCGCCATCTTCCATCATAACCCCTATTTCTCCGTGCCTCGTCCAAACATTATAGTGTGGCATGAAACCCTAATAAAGCAGGTGGGAGTGAAGGATTTTTCGGTTAGAGTAAGACCTCGTATTCCCACATTCAGTGCATGGACAACACATAAAACCATTCTGCTTGTTTGCCTCAGCCGCATCGAGAAACTCATGCACGCCCTTAATGTACTCGCGGGTGTGTCTGTCACCGTACATTCATTGCCGGTTCATCTGCGTGCATTATATATAATTAAGTGTCCAAATTAATAGAAGTTCATCATCACATTAAAACCAAAGTGCATACATAGTTCTCATCTAACAACATATAGCTCTCCAGAGCATCTAATTAATTAAACCATACATTGAAACTATGCAAAACATTTCAATGCGAAAACAAATGCGATCATAATCGCAACCAAGGTAACAATTGATCCAACGGCATAATGATACCAAGCCTCGGTATGAATGGCATATTTTCTAATCTTTCTAATCTTCAAGCGCATTGCATCCATCTTGATCTTATGATCATCAACGACATCCGCAACATGCAACTCCAATATCATCTTCTCCTCCTCAATTTTTTTTTATTTTTTCCTTCAACAAATTATTTTCTTTTTCAACTAAATTTAACCTCTCGACAATAAGGTCGGTTGGCATTTCTGATTCACATACATCCTACATAAATAAAATCTATGTCACGTTGGTCGGCATAATTTTCATAAACAATAAATGAACCAATAGTTATAAAGATAATATATATACCACATCCGAATCATAGACAGGACGAGGGCCGACGGGGGCGGATACCAAAACCATCGCACTATATAAGATGCAATAATAAAAGTAAGAAAATAATACAAGTATCTATGTAAACATACAAGTAAGAATATTTTTCCTTTCAGAAAGAAGATAAGAACAAGAGGCTCACCACGGTGGTGCCGGCGATGAGCTCGGCGCGGGTGATCGACGGCGGTGAAGACGGGGATGGGGCGTGACGGACCGCTAAACCTAAACAAATATTATGAAAAATGGAGCTTGGAGGTCGAGCTTGGAGAGGAGAAAGCTTAAGTAGTGTGGCTCGGGCATTCCATCGAACACCTTGTGTGCATAGGAGGTGAGTTAGAGCACCACACCAAGCCCTCTCCCCCTCGGCCAGAGAAAAACAGAGCACTGGGGTGCTCTGCTCGCGAGCGAGGGGTATATATAGGCACCTCATTGGTCCCGGTTGGTGACATGAGCCGGTACTAAAGGGGAGCCTTTGGTCCCGGTTCAAGCCACCAACCGGAACCAATGGTGGTGGGCCAGGAGCGAGGCCCATTAGTCCCGGTTCATCCCACCAACCGGGACCAAAAGGTTCAGATGAACCGGGACCAATGGCCCACGTGGCCCGGCCGGCCCCCTGGGCTCACGAACCGGGACCAATGTCCCGGTTCTGGACTGAAGCGGGACTAATGGGCTGATCCGGCCTGGACCAAAGCCCTGCTTTCTACTAGTGCAGAACATAACCTTTTTTTAGAATCAACATAGAAACATATTGAAGGTTATGATTTACTTCCTGGAACCAAAGCTTTTGATATCCAAGTATTTGACATGGAAGAGTTTCCTAAAATTTAAAATAATTTGACATGAAACCAAAACTAAAACCACCGCACACTAAATATGCATTAGTAAGAGGTTGGAGCCCTTAATAAAATACGTAATTTGTTAGAATACAAAGAAAGAAGCACACGGCTTGTATTGTCCTGCTTCTATTTTTCCTTCAACTCACTATTTCACTTGCGATGCATCAGAAGCAAAGGTGCAAAACATCAAGTTGTCAAGGACACTGCAGCAAGATCATCGAGGATAACTTGCAGACAATAATATTTCTTCCTCCATAGTGTATTGCCTGCTTGCTTCCACAACAACTCCTTCAGCTGGCATCCATAGAGATCCATCTTGACCTCCATCATATCTCCTTGGTGCAGCAGTATCAGGTGCCGCACGCATGTTAACTCTCAGAATTTCAAGTTTCATCTCCACTTCCCTCATGGTAGGCCGCTCTTCTCCCTTCAATTTAATGCACATCGCTGCTAGCATAGCTACCTCCTGGACTTCCCCATTTTCCTCTTCTATGAGTTGAGGATCTATTATCTCATCAAGGTTGCCTTCTGCGAGTAGTGAAATAAAATGTGAAACGAGACTAACACCGTCGTTGCCACCACTACGGTAGAGGCATGGTTTTCTTCTAGTTAGGAGTTCTACAAGAAGAACACCAAAACTGAAAACATCACTCTTGTCTGTTAGGCGACCGGTATAATAGTACATGGGGTCTAAGTAGCCTATTGTTCCTTGCACGGCTGTAGTCACCCCGGTTTGGTCGATTGGGATGTATCTTGAAGCTCCAAAGTCTGATACCTTTGCTGTCAAATTATCATCAAGAAGTATGTTGGTTGATTTAATATCCCTGTGATAAATTGGCATCGAAGCAGCAGAATGGAGATAAGAAAGAGCTCTAGCAACTTCAAGCGCAATCCTTGTTCGATCATCCCATGACAGTGACATTGGGCCTTCAACATGAAGATGGTGATCAAGAGTACCATTTGAAATGAACTCATAAACTAGTAATGGGACTTCTGTCTCAAGACAACATCCGATTAGCTTAACAACATTTCTATGGTTGATTTGGGAAAGAATTGCAACCTCGTTTATGAAGTCATCGATTTCTCTCTGTACGACGATCTTGGATTTCTTGATGGCGACAACCTGTAGGTCTAAAATTCCTTTATACACAACACCGTGGCCTCCGCCGCCAGCCTCACGAGTTCTATCAAAATTGTTTGTGGCCTTCTCTAGATCCAACAAAGGAATGATCATCCTTTCACCAAAATCTGTTTTCTGGGATATTAGTTGTTGCAATAGCAACCCATGATTTTGCTTGAACAATCTTCTTTTCAGTTTGTTTGCCCTATTTAACTTCATTTTGCGTGCTATAAACGGGGTGGCGAGCACTAAAAGTAAAATGATTGAGCTGCCACTAGCCACAAGACCTATGCCCAAACCTGTAAAATATGGTATCATAGACGAAAATACAAAGTTGTTAATTTCGGTCAACTGAATTCTTCAAAAAATAATAGATTGATGATCATTATAAAAATATGCTATCATTACCTGTAAATGGCCTTTTCGTTCTGACGCTGACGCATCCCAATTTCATCAATGGATCTCCATAGGCACCATCTTGACACCGGCAATGGAATGTCCCAGGCAAATTGATGCAGATTCCATAACATGGATATGTTTCCTTGTGTTTACATTCGTCAATGTCTGGGCAAAGCACATAAAAGTATGAATGAATAAGCAATATGCATGCTAAATAGGTAACTAGTTGGACTATTCTGCAGGTAGTAGAACTACAAAAATATTCGGGGTCCCTATATAACATCGTAGTGAACAAATAAGCATAAAGCTATCAATTAAGCTGATCTGTACCTTCACATCCATTTGGTGTAGAAGCATTGCCCATGAAGCCAGGAGGGCACTGACAATCATATTCTCCGTGTGTGTTTCTGCAATTGCCGTAACATGGATAGATGTCTGGATAATCACATTCGTTGATATCTGGATGTACCACAACATAGAAAAAACCGAAATTAGTTATACCGATGTAGGTTCATGTAGTCAATGAGTAGAAAATGTATATAAACACACAAGTCGGTCGGCTAAGAAACAACTATTTACGGGTCAATGCCGCGCAAGCTGTCGTGGAATTGAAGACTTGATTTCCAATTATTTGATTTCCAGATATGGTAAAGATTATAAATTGATTCCATATAGTTTCAAAAACAAGTGATGTAATATTTAAAAAGTGTCATAACTAAACTGATAATTGTGGCATGGATAAGTCCACTTAGAATACAAGCTGCGGCTACTACATACTGCATGGTGGAGGCTCTCAAGGTCCAGATCGGATACCTCTTGGTGGAGTGAGCTTCTAGATCTAGTGGCTTTGATGATTTGTATTACTGTGAGCGAGGAAACATATCTATTAATGTTTTTTTAAAGTGACTGAGAAATAGCAAATCCCCGATGTATACGCATATTGTACTCATTCCATCTTAATTTATAAGGCGCTTATGTATTTTGAGGTTCAACTTTGGCCATCAATTTCAGTAATAAAAATTTGGGTTATGTGCCACGAGAACTATACTATTTGAAGCTTCATTCTATTAGTGTTTCGGCTGGCAAAAGATTAAGTTCTTCATAATGCAATTTTCCACAATTATTGATTTGCCACATATCTTTCTTTACGGCGACTTTGCCATATACTTATGGAGCTGACATGTATCTTCATTATGCCATCACATTTTTGTGCTTGGGCAATGTGCCATTTTCGTATGTTTACTCGGAAAACACTCTATCTAGCTAGGTGCGGTGGCTAAATAAAGTAAACTAGTTTGAGCATCCAGAAAAAAGAAAGAAATATTTGAGCAGTGTGTTACTATTACCATAGCAGCCATGGGAGATGTATGGATTGCCCTGGTAACCACCAGCACACCTGCAGTTATGCCGTTGATGATCACCAGGATCACCATCGTCCTCATAACCATAAAGAAGACCTTGATCAAAAACTGTGGTGTAGTTTTGGCAGAAACTGTGATCACTGCGGCACGAAGGCGACGACCCACTGGTATCACATATCGAGCTGTTGATCGCCCAGGTCAGCATTGTGGGGGCTGTGTACGCGTTATTTTGATAAGAATACTCCGTCAAGTTAAGCAAATAGTCCGATTCCACAATTAACACATTGACCCGGTATCTATAATCACCGAAACCAACCCGTTGAACCTGGAGTCCGTAGGAAGCGCGATCCTCAAGTATGGCTGCCTGGCAGCAGCTGATGCCGGAGCAGGTCCCCATATCCATGTAACCTGTGCCCGGGCAGAAAGGAGAGCAAGAGCTGACAAGGGTGTTGTTCTGTCCCAAGAGGATGACTTGGACGCCGCATCCGAGTGCTACTAAGTTGTTCTGCCCTGCTCCGGCAACAAAGTATGGCCCGTCGCCGGCGTATCCCAGGCCGCCGGCGCGCCATGTGAGGCGGCTTACGTTTCCGATGTCGTCATAGAGGATATCCAGCGAGGTGCTGTTGATACGCACCGTGCCGTTGGGCAGATCGATGTCGAGCACCTGCACGGTGCCGTCGCCGAGGAAGAGATGGGGCGGGCTGTAGGACTGGTTGCAGGTGAGGTTGAAGCCGCTCTCGTGGTAGCAGCCAGGCTCCACCCCGAACGGGTACGGGATGCTGATGTTGCCGCAGTGGGTGGTGCAGCCACTCCCCCCCTGGGTAGCTGCCGGAGCCGGTGCACGCGCCACGGCGCACAACGGCGGCAGCAGCGCGGCAACCACAACAGCGGCAGAGAACATTGCGCTGGCGAGGGTCAACGGCCAGGCACTCATTGTTTGTTTTTCCTCAACAACTACATAGAGAGAGAGAGAGAGAGAGAGAGAGAGAGAGATGGATTATGGAGTAGAATATATCATATATGTATTTGTTTAATGAATCAGCTGGGTCTAGCGAACTGATTTAGCACGCCGGAGTTAGTGTTTGTTCGTTACAAGAGCACGAAGTGGCTTAGTAAATTAGCTAGATGACACTTTTTAGTTAGCTTTCGGCCCGCATTAAGAAAAATGCACGATATAACCGTGATTGATTTTTCACGAGGGAAATTATGTCGAACTCCCTGAAAGTAGGACATTGAGACAGAGACAGAGAGAGAGAGAGAGAGAGATATTTGTTCAATGAACCAGCTGGATTTAGCGAACTGATTTACTACTACGCCAGATTTAGTGTTACTGTTAGTCCGTTGCAAGAGCACTAAGTGATTTAGTAAATTAGCTAGATGACACTTTTTAGTTAGATTGGCAAGCAAGAAGAAAAACGCATGATATAGCTATGATTGATTTTCCCCGAGGGAAATTATGTGGAACTCCCAGAAAGTAAGACATTTTAGCCAGTTATATAAAGTCGTGCGACCGATCATGAACATCGGCACAAACATAATCAGTCCTAGTCTAAAGGGATGCAAGTGACAAAACGTGCCTAACGGGTCAACAACGACTGACGACATCAGACTGACGAGACCATCGCGGATCAAAAAGATATACGGAAGTACTTGTGACTAGAAAGAAATTCTGTTATAATCTGCAAGTAAATCATTTAAAAAAATTGAGCTGTAAATCTTTTTCTCTTGGAAGTTTCTTTTTGAGTGGTTTTTTCTGTTAGAAGTGGAAAATAAATCTTCACGCGGACTGATACGGCAAACACCAGTACGTGTGATGTGGGCCGGCCCATTTCAAGGGTTTGCTTGCGGTAGTTCTGTTTCCTTCTCTAGCGCTGTGTCTCCTTTTTCTGTGGTTTTTGTTTTTGAGTTTCTTCCGGGTTTTCTTTGTTTTTCTGTGTTTATTTATTGGGCTTATTTTATTTTTCCTTTTTCTTTTTTTTTCAATTCATGTCTATTTTTAATATATGGTGTATAGATGTGGAACATTTTTATACATGTTGATTTTTTTTCAAATATATGATGTACGTTATTTCAAATAAATGTTTTGAACATATTTTAGTACATGGTAGAAAAAATCAATTCGCATCGGACATGTTTTTAACAATAATCTTAGATGAACAGACTTCGACGGCCGTGTTAGGGACCCCCTCATACTAGCTCTCCCCCTGAATTCCAAGGGGGTGGCCTGTCCTCACCCCAATAAGCGTCCAATAGGAGTTCTCTACTTATACGAGAAGATAACCAGCACAATTTGGCCCGGCCCAATAAGGGGTGGTAGGCTCACATTTTTTCTTTTCTATTTTCTTTGTGTGTTTTCATTTATAAATCCAACAAAATTTAAAAATCATGCAAGTTATAAAAAGTTTGACTAACTAGGAAAATCTTCATGAATTAAAAAAATATCATTCAATTTAAAAATAATTAATTAATTGGGAAACATGTTCACAAACAAGACAATGTTTGCGATTTTTTTTCAAAAGTTTGTGAATATGTGAACCAACCACTTGTTGGCAGGTTAGGCGGACAGTAGTATCTCAACCCACCAGGGTTTAAGTTCTAAACTTGACATTGGCGCTCGCACTTTCCTAAATTTAATTCAGACTTTTCGTCGTTGTGCGTTTAATGGGAGGAGACTTTCAGGTCGACTACGAAGGTGTTAGTAGTGACTTCGTCAATCTGAAGATGATGTGTCGGCTCAATATCTCGGAGGTGCTCATACAAGTAGGGTGTGTGCGCGCATTCATAGAGGGTGAGCGTATGTGCATATGTATAAGCGTCTGCATCTGTACTATGTTTAAAAACATTTGTTTGAATGTTCAAATTTTTTAAAAATTGACACATATTTATGGAAGTAGTACGATATAAATATATGTAAATACATTTGAAACTGTTCATTAATTTAAAAATTAGTTGAGAACTTTGAAAATTATTTCAGATTTTTAAGTGCTCAAGAGTTTATAAAATGTTTCCAAATTTGAACAATGTTTGTGAATTAAAAGGGTGTCGACAAATTCTAAATAATATTAAAAAAAGTATAGAGGATTTAAACCAAGTTCATAAAATTTTTGCAATTTTTTAAATCTCTTAGAATTTTTCATATAATTCTGGAATTTAAATTGTTAATGGATTTAAAATTTTCCTTTAAAAAAATATTACGAGTGATCACAAACCTAAAGAAGTGTTCCAAATTGTAGAAATGATCACGAACTTTAAAAAATATTCATTAATATTTAAAAATATGTATTTTCTAAAATTGTTAGCACACATGACAATTTGAGATTAGTAACTGTTCTATATTAAAAAAAATAACATTTTGGGAAACAATTGAAATTTAAAAATGGTAAATTTGAAAAAAGGTTCACAAAATAAAAATATCCACCAAGTTATAGAATATCCTGGAATTTTAAAATATGTTCAGAAATTGAAAATTGAATAATGGCCAATAGAAACTGTAAAAAAATTAAAAGAAAAAGGGTACAAAATAAAGACATAAAAGGGAAAAGAAAAAAAACATGATGG